AGTTGATGTTTAACATTAATACTCCCTCGATTTGGCTTTTATCTTATATCTTATATCAAATTAATAATGAGTTCTGTAATTGAATTGGGTGGTTCCATAGGGGTTTTAAGTTTTTAACACTATGCTAAAATGCTGTAAATTAATTTTGATAATTAAGTATAATGAGATTTATTGCTATAATTTTTAATTAATGTGAACTTTTAAAAAAAAATTTGTCCATTTCTCAGGTAAATTAGATTAGATTAATTTGTGATCTTGAAAATTAATCTTTACTTTTCTTTTGCCATCGAAAATTAATGCTCAGAATCATTAAAATTGATATGGTAGTAATTACTAATTTCAACAATTATTGTGAATATTTTTATAATAAAACAGTGAGAAAATACTGATGTCAAATTGTTTGTATTTTTCGATCCAATCGGTTGGCAGCATATTATTTCAACCATAAATTGCAGTAAGATATCAATGCCTCCGATGCTTAAATAAGAGTTAATTAATTAATGTGAGTAAACTAAAAAAATTTGTTAAATTATTTATTTGTAATAAATAAATATTATCTTTTTTAGAATGTTCTTGCTAATTATATTTATTTGCTAGAACTACCATCTAATAGACTCTTTAACATGTAAAATTACTATAAGGACTATTTTAAAAAAAACAGATAAATGAGAAAGACAAAATAAATTAGTGTATATTTAAAATAAACTTAAAAATCAAACTAACTTTAGCATTAGGTTGTGCCCTTGTGCTTTTGTAATGAAACATAACATGACTTTCTTCTTCCCCATCGGGCATACATGGCTTATCGGTTTAAAAGAATAGTTGGGATTAAAAAAAGAACTATGCATGTGAATACCTAAACAAACACTAATTACTCTTTTGGATTTATACAAAAATTAAGAAAATTACTTAAATAAGTTATTTATATAAAAAAAAATGTACATTGGCTAGTTAAGCCAGAGCAACGGAATACGCGTTAAAAATTACTTAAATGGGCATGGTCATAAATCATAACCTCATAGGCGAGACAAATTTATTAGGTCCAACCTTAGGCTGAGGTTACCCCTCTGTGGCCCCCCACAACAAAGCGCCTCACTAATGTGGAATCATCAAGAACTTCAGGCTTTTACCACCCCCCCCCCAAAAAAAAAAAAAAAGAACTTCAGCGAACCCAATTAGCCCTCATCCTCAGTAAGCTGGCCCAAGACCAGCCCATCTCCTTTGCTGTCCTCAAACAGGACAGTAATAGAAGAGCATCAAATATTCCCAATACTTGGCTAATTCCTCACATGAATTTACCAATCATTCACTGATACAAAATCACATGTAGTATAAAGAAGTATCTCAATCACCATCAAATTAATGATATAATGTACAGTTTATATGCATAAATTCTACAACCTAGATGCTTAGCACTATAAAGACAACTTTCCCATCGATAAATTATTGAATGACACTGTAATTATAGTAGGTATAAACACAATACAGTCCAAGACTCACCAATCAATACCCAGTTCTCTTGATAGAAAGAGCTTATCAATGTATTGGATCAAAGGTACTGATGCCGTTACATAATTTTGCATTTGGACCTTCGCTGATGACTCTGAACCAAGGAAAGAAAAGGCATCATAAATAACTTTACTAAGACAAAAAAATTGAATAACATAGAATTCATATTAAGATGTGGAAGCATTCTGATTGAAAGCGAACCAATTGACATTTCGGAGGATTCCAGAAGAAGGTAAGTTCATCTTGCTGTGTGTCCCTAAAGTTTTAGGTTACTTGGTAGTTCCGTGTAACTACTTTAGTTTAAAGTCTTTCTAGAACAGTGATTGACCATTCTGGGTTCTCTCCCATCAACAATGCACATCATTTTATACCGTAATTGGTATTTAAGCACCTAGTAGCTGTTATGGATATACAAGCAAAGTCTCAGGGTAAAAATGCGCACTTTAACAAGGATGTCTCCCCTTGCAAACCATAAAAATTTAGCAGATCAAAACTAGGGTAGGAAGCCCAAAATTTATTGTCAAACCAAAAACAAATAACTGCTAATTGATCTTCCCTCTAACTCTATTTCCTTCTGTTCCCCTTTTCACTGCCAATCGGTCATTAAAGTCCTCTTAATGGATTCAAATAACTAATGTGCATGCAAACTTTAACCTACACTTACCATCCTCATGGAGTTTTCGCAGGAGTTGTTGCTTTGTAGGAAGGGCGTACATCCCAGCAGCAACAGCCTTCCTGATAACCCAACCATGATGGGGAGCAAATACCTCTGCGTAAGCCTTGGAAGCTGGATCCTTGAGAGAATTCCCACTGCCGAAAGACATGCAGATACTAAGCTTATATTCACTACTTAATGGAACTTGGTTCTTCCAAATGCGCCTCTCAAAATAGTTATCCACCGAAAAGGTACCCTTCACTTGTCCACCAAAGAGGTACCCCTCAGTTTTAAAAAAACAAATTAATTTTAAAAAAAAGCCTCAGGATAAGCTGAGGGTTTATTCCGTCTGGAAATTCAAAATTTCCTTTAGCAATCAGACAATTTTTAAGAAGCCAGAGATTTCAGCATCTTGAAAAAATGGTTTTTTTAGTAACAAAATAGTTCTGTCAAAAATTATCCAGACCAAAAAAAGGCCAGCACCAAAGGAGTAAAAAGCAGAAAGTTTCCCAAAAAACATTTTAAATTTAGCAGAAGAACCTCAAGCCAGATAAAAATAACACTCATGAGTTCATAACTATGTCAAAAATTTCTTTTTTTTCCATGGTCAAATTACTTTTCCAACTTGTTGCACAAATTCACTTGTTCCTACAAACTTATGGACACGATGGATTATTAACATGTAAAACTCATCATCATTTAGCATCACATGATCAGATGGTAAAGACTGATATGCATACTCTGTCATTAGGATCTGCTCAAAAAGCACCCTGACCATGTCGAGTCCACGTTTTACTCTAAGAAGATTTCTTGTATGGCTACCTGCTTTTCTCACAGTATTAGCTTGTACGTCCCGATCAATCATGGATGGTAAGGTCTGAATAGACTTTGATGCCTCAACTAGATCATCAACCTGTTAATATCAAACAATATAACCAATGACATAAAACAGATAAATAAAAATTATACCAAGCTAATTTGGAATTATGCTGGAACAATAGTTTTAGAAGAGCAAATCTTTATAGCGACCACATGGAAGCTTTAAAACTTGACCATGCAGAATAATGCAGTGCCCCGCCTTTAAGGTGGATGGATTATCGATATTTAAATTTAATCATGGTCAACGAAGATTATGGATATTAGGAATCTTATTGGGAAATCGCTATTAATCATATAGAGAGGCTAATCAATGTGGCAATTGGTTGGCACATGGACTTCACAGAAGCATTTCTGATGCATCTCTATTAATCATCTAAACTGATGTGTCCAGAAGGGTGCAATGGTTATCTCGAAGTTTACATCCAAAGAGCAGATTCTCAATCAGGAAGTCACGTGTTATATTATACTGAGTTTCTTTGATAACTGAAATCCAAGTCAACTTTACAAAAACCCACGAGTCCATTGTAATCCAGAGCTCAATGCACTCACCAAGATGGTAACAGGAAACCCAACTCACGTTTTTACCAATCTCAAAGCAGCATCTAATCAATTTCCACTGACCACCACCTTATATTTGCAACAAAGTCAATCAAAATAATTCAGGGAACAGAATGAGTCTTAAAGGATAGGATTACCTTGGCAACGTAATCCATCTCGGCAAACTTGAAGGCGATGCCCAAGCAACCAAAGAGAGGAGAGACCAGAGAAGAGGCCCGAGAGAAAGAAGCAACCTCGACATCAGAACTTTGGGAATTGACAATGTCTGCGAGCTCTTTGAACGCGTCCGAGATTTTTCTCAGAGGCTTGGCATCGGGCGAGGTATCTGCCATCGAACCGGAAAGATCTTCGACTGTCTTTGGCAGCCTTCTGCTTCTTTGCGTCGGCCTCGGTCTCTGGAAAGTGGAAACTTATTCTTAGCTGTAAATGGACGCTAATGGGTAACGGCGAGTTGGCGACAGGCGTTCAAACAATACAAAAATGAGAGGGCTTCATGGGTGGGCCTTATATTTCACTGTTCAAAACCATGGGAATAAGGAAAATGAGCTCTGTAGGCTGGGCCTTATGCATCTTCCTGACGTTTTATTATTGGACACGTTTTTAAATTTATTATTTTCTCTGTTAATTTTATTATTTCAATTTAGAACATTAAATTTTATTTTTTATTTTAATTTAATCTCTTAATTTTCAAGAATTGCTTTGTTTTCCCTCTAGGATCATTAAATTAAAATGCTTGACAAAAAAGACTTTGCGTGGGTCTTTTGTGAATTAAATGTAAGAGAAGACATGGATACATAGCTTTTTATATATATAACTCATTTTATAATGTAAATGACACTGCAAAATAATTCTTACATTTAAAACTGCATTTTCTTATTAAATCAAAATGAATGAATTTTAGAGTATTAATAGTATTAAGAACTAGGATTAGTTATATAAAGAAATTCACATGTTTTGATTTGATTGGAAACAAACACCTTGAATGTGCAAGGTCAAGTGTATGAGTTTTTCTCTTAAAGGTATTGACATCCCGTTCGTAGAAAATATATCGATATCATGCTAATTTTTTTGTCAACAAAAATAACATTCATTTACTTCTGTAAGTTAAAGCATTATGCTGAATGTTGGTTTAAAAAAAAAAAGATTTTGTATAAAGAGTGAAATTAAAATTTAGAATTAAAAGTATATTTAAGTACATGCCAAATAAAAATTTTAAGGGTGAAAATATATGAAAGTTGCATCCCCGGGGGGGAAGAAAAAGAGAAACGAGAAAGTGAAGAATTTGAATTGTTTTGGCAGATGAAATAAGTTGGGCATGGCCCAAATTTACATAGCCGGGAGACTCATTCAAGCCCCAACATAACGTACAAGCATGCCAAACAATGTAGTTCAAAAATAATTGAAAGAAGATGAATGAAGCACGTTCCAATTAATCTGAAAATTTCAGAATCCACACTCCTAGTTGAGTCGCAACACTATCAGACTCAACAACACAACCTAACTCTCACAGATCCAAGAGATGCTCTAAAAAATCTCTAATCCTGAACCAAACTCATTCTTTAACAAATAACCATATACACAGATTAATTACTCTGATCAGAATAAATACACGTATATATATATATATATATATACCCAAAACAAAAAGAACCAAAAAAAAAAAACCACAGTGAGTTGAGGATTCAGCTCTGCTCGGCTCAGATTCAACTTGCCTTGATTGATCTAAAGCGGCAGCTAACTCAAAGTCCCCAACTCATTTAAGAATTGCAGTCTCATTTTCTGGAATCAATTGTGATTGGTTAGCAGCCTGAGGACAAAGTAGAGAGTGTGGTGGCAGATGAAGTTCTGGGCGAAGGAGACGCATGCTTCAACACCACAGTAGGCAAAATGCTGGTTTTTCTTCTTTCTTCCTCTTTTATCAACTCTCCTCCAAACAACTCCAACTTGTCCCCATTTGTGTTATCCACCACTCTCTTCCCCTTGAACAGAACCGATTCCACACTCTTCTGGGCCAACATTTCCTCCGAAGCTGCCACCAGATCCGACGTCGTTCTGCCCGACCCGCCCTCTGCCTTCTTTGCCATCACCCCGTTTGACTGGATGCGCACATAATTGCCTCTGCTACACTCCACAAATGCCATCGATACAGCTTGATCAACCTGCAGATTTTTTTTTAAAATAAATCCCGTTAGCAATTATTACACTACCAACCTCTTGTGCATTATAAAATGCAAAAAAAAAAAAAATCAAATGCTGTGTGTGTGTGGAAGGATTAGGTGACACATTGATGAGCCATTACTCTAACCACCACCTCTTTATTTGTTGCATAATAATCATCTTTTCATTTCTCACTTTAAAAGTCCGGCGGATTTCGACTTTTATGTGAAATAAGAATTTAAAAGAAGAAGCTTTTACGCAGTAATTCATAGAATTAAAGGGATTAATGCTGTTAATAATTATTCCACATTTGACCGTCATAAATTACGCGAAAAAGTGAAATATGCTAGACTTTATACTTTTGTGAATTGACTGAGTGTGAAACAGTAGGACAAAAAAAAACTCGGTGAAAAACACTTACCATATCGGAAGCTCCTTCTCCGGCGATCCTAACGAAGCCGGATGTGGACAATTTGGGTTCGACGGTGTTAAACTCGGACTCTCCGTTGCCCAGAGAGAGAACCAAGAGATCGGAGACGCTGTTACAAAACGGAAACTCGTGCTTATTGTTCAAAACGTGGGTGATGGCGGCGGCCGTTGGATTGTTCATCGCTATTCCTCCATCGACGGCCACGATCTTCGTCCTCCCGTCCATGGACTTCATCTCCACTGGGCCGACCGAAACGGGATCAGCTGACGTGGCAACGCAAACGTCCCTCATCTTGAAATCATAGCCGTCCAATTCCAGAGCGTCGGCGCGGGAAAACAGGAACGGGGCGCGAGTGATGAGGTCGTAGCAGGGGATCAAAACCGGCTTCAACGTGTCCTTCAACGTGCTCTCACCGAAAATCTTACGGAACAGCTTCTCGACTTTCGACGCCGACGACGACGCGCGAATTACTCGCCGGAAAATCCCCGGCTTAGAACGGAAAATCTTGCGCCGGTTATCGACCAAGAACTTCAGCGCTTCCTCGGCGGAGAACATCGGAAACCCGTCTCTCCCGCGAGTGAACAACAGAGCCGCGAGAACGCCTCCGACGCCAGACCCCGCAACGACGTCGAAATAGGCAGCGATGTGGGCGTTGGGGTTTCCGGATTTGCGGCGGAGGCAGGCTTCAAGGTGAACCAAAGACTTGGCAGCGAGGATGCCGTCGGTGGCGCCGGTCCCATCAATGCAGAGAATTCTGACCTTACCATCGTTGTGTTTGGCTGATTTCGCGTCTTCTGGGGAAATCTGAGCAGAGTTGGCAACGACGGTCTTGGAATTCTTGGGCTCGTTGTAGCCGAAGAGGAACTTGTTCTCCAATATAGAGAAGATTTCGTAGGTGAGCTTGTCGACTTCGAAGGTAGAGTCAATGTTAGAAAGTGCCGCCATTTCTGCAATTTTTCAGTTCGGAGATAGAGAAGTTAGAGAGAAAAAGGGAGATTGAAATTTGAGGGTGAAGCGACTGTGATGGGAATTTGCGTTGAAGAGGAGAAAGAAGGAAGCGTGGATGAAAGAAAAAGGAGACGAGGGTGGTGTGTATATATAGCGAGGGAAGGAAAATAAGAAGGCAGCGAGAATGATAGTGATTGCGATCATCCACGAACATTCCTAAGGACGGAGGTGTGGTGATTAAGAAAAAATTACACATCTAGACCCGGAATTCTTTTTCAGCAAAACTCATGATTATCTTAAAAACTAAAAATTTAAAATTTTATCTTTAAATTGACTAACATCTCATCTCACAAAATTTTATAATAATTTCTGGCTTTGAGGGGCAGCAATTGAAGTTCCGTTTTGACATGGTTTTTTTTCTCTATAGTTATGGGCCCTTGATTGTGATTTTTCAAAAATCATTATGCACACGACTGTTTTATAATTTTAGATGTTGGCTCAATTTTTATAATGACGGCGTGGAGGGGATGTTTGGGAAGTTGAGGGGTGGGGGGGAATTAATTTAAGTTAAGGAGACATGAGATGCAAGAAAATTGCGTTGATGCAGGGGGGAAAATTAAAGGGCTAAATTCTAAAAAGCAAGGATGGACCAACTTTATTTCAAGCATATGAATTTAAATTTTGCGTGGTGGGAATAGTTCTTATTTTAGTACTTTTACATATTGTACTTTCCTCTTTTTTTTTCAGCTATCCAGTCCCTTTATTCGTATATACTTTATGGCGAGAATGCATGTTTTAAAATGTAGTGGAGGGAAGGCTATTCTTGACTAATGACCAGTGTTTTGTATTGTTTTCTTTTATTGTTCTAAGTATTTATTTATTCATTTCACACTTCATATTGAAGCAAGACAGTGCATAGCTATATAGTTTTATGCTTTAATTTCTAATGAGTTGCTCTTCAATATGCGTTGATTGAGGAAATTAATTAACATTGCTTAGATATTAGGTAGTTTGAGTTCTATATCAGTTTTGTCCACTTAGGAACCTATTGAGCTGAAATCCAAAATACTTCTCCCGTCCTAAATATATTAATGTATATAAAGATCTTATATTTAAAATTAGAAAAGTACAAATGAAATGACACACCAGGGATGGGAAAAAAAAACGAAAAAGAGACAGCGGAGATTTCAACGGCTAAGTCGTACTGATTTTTTTTTTTTTGGGTGTGGATGGTATGGATTGAGTTGAGGAAGAAGGAAGCAAAGCGGGGGAGGGGTGGGGGAGGAAAGGGTAAGAAATAATGTCGGCGGGGGGAGGCCAGTGTCAAGGACACAGCAGTGTGAAGATCCGAGTAGGACCCTTTCCTCCAGATACGTGCCTCTCTCCTTTCCTTTTCGCCTTCTCATCCTCTCTCCTCTTCTTGACATCCTCTCTCTAATTTAACCACTTCTGCTCATCTACCATCTATAAACTACTTTTAACATAGAGAGATGTTAAGTGACTCGTAGGGGGTGTTTGGATAGAAACTAAATTATGGTTTCAGAAGTGTTTTTACAGTTTACGAAATAAATATATGGAAGAATTTGCCTCATTTTACAGAAAAGTGCTTCTGAAACCATAGTTTGGAAGTTGTCAAACACCCCATAATCACATAAATAACGTTTTGGATCCGTTTAAAATAGTTTATAAGTAATCTTTTAATTAGAATTTACAAAATACATAATAAATATGCAAAATAAATTTTGATACATATAAGCGATTCCAATCAAGAGCTCTATATTCCCTCTGTCTGCAACTCTGCATAAACAATAAAACTGGTTGTGACTATCCTACTTCATTTTTAAATAGCTCACTCGCCGGCCCTATCCTGCTATCCTATCCATAGATCATACTTTAACCTTACCAGTAACAAGGGAACGTTTTAAATAGTGCTTCATCACTCTCCTTACAATCTTACAAGTGGAGGACATTGTGGGCGTGGGGACTAATCTAAAATAAAGGGGACAGAGGAGAGAGAGTTGACCTCACACCCAAAAGAAAATGGAAAAAAAAATTAAGGAAAATAAAAATAATGTTCCGAAGAGTTTAATTAATATTACCCAGAAAAAAGTTTAGTTAATAATAGTTAGGTTTTTGATAAATTTTTTATAAAATGAATTCTAAATATCAATTCAGATCATTGCAAATTTTATAAATAGAGCATTAAGTTTGAAATTTAATTTCCAGTTACAACTTTTTTTTGGAAAAAATTAAAAAAATCAATTATCATGAATTATTTTGACTTAATGTTATTACTATTTAAGAATACAGTTGTCCGGACTGTACTGTGCCCTCTTCCTCGCTACCGTACCGTCCCCCCTGTACCCACCCGCCTTCCCTCTCCCCTCTGCTTTTAATTTCCCCCACGCTTCTTTTATAGTCATAACTCATAACTTGTGAAGGAACATATTGAATTTAATGTTCCGTGCAGTGATTTTCATTGTTTTCTAATCAAATGAATGGGGAAAAAAAAAACAAAGATTGTCCTAGAGACAGAGATATGTGACCAGAAAATATCAATTACAAATGAAAGCGATATATATATGTCCACCATTTCTTCCTCCTCAATTTTCACCCTCAATTTCCAATTTTATTTGGACTTTGAAACAAAATATTACTACTTTTGATCTTAATTATAAGATTTTGTTTTACAAACGAGATCTTATAATTAGAGTGGGAAGTAATACCTATACAATACGCATACAAATACATATATATTTATATAGAGAGAGAGAGGGTGTGGGGTAAATGAAAGGCACGAAACAGGACATGACCGTGGCAAGAAACTGACCAAAGAATGCTGTAGCTATCTCCACTCACAGGTGTGTGCTACTTTTCCCTTCTGCTTCTGCACCGCGCCCTTGTTTTTCTCTCCCCTTAACTGCCCATTTAATTTTGGTAGGCCTTCCCTTCCAAATATCTCAAACTTTCAAACCTTGAACAAGCGTTACAATTCCATATGGTTAAGTTCGGTACTAACAACTTAAAACTACAAGCAGAATCAAACCCGTCAAACTTGAATATAACAGCTTACAGTTAAAAGTGTCGAGAGGTTTAAAAGAAAAGGTCAGAGAGGGGAAATGAAAAGGTAAGATACTATAGATTCGCGGGAGTGATTATTGAATTTTATATAATGGGGTCCTTAAATGTGACTGCAGAATCATAAATTATTATCACCACTCCACGCATATGGACCAAACAGTAACTATGCAATGCAACAACGAAGAGACAAAGAGAGAGAAACAGCGACCAAAAGAAAGAGTGAAACTTGAAAGTGAAGTCTTTTCTTTTCTTTTAGTTTTCTCCCCATATCAAGTGAAGTGTGTTTACTTTTAATTTCCCATCTCATTCCCTAAATGGCGGGTCATAATTAATCTTGCCCCACCCCCCAAAACCCCAACAAAAAACTATTCCTTCTCACGTTAATCTACACCAGATTATGAAATTCACATATCAAATACACTGATAAACAAATTGATTTGGTGTGTGTTGATGAGATATTGAGCTATATGCAGAATAATAAAGTGAGGGTGAGTTTCGGGAGGGTTTCTGGGCACAACCACCGACGATCAGGTACAATGTTCCGAAATAAAAGACTTGATTTTGGAGAGGCAAGTAGGGAATAGCAGCTAGCAACAACGTAAGCGGTTGGTAAGATTCATTAGATGAAGAGAGTTCCGGATCGATCACACCACGCACAGCCTTTTAATTAGTTCAGACTTAGAAGCCAACATTTTTGCCACCTTCACTTGTCGGCCTAACGCACAAGCCTCTTTCTTTTTAATCATCAGATTGATCAGACTTGTTTATTCAAGAATACTGTGTTTTTATATATATGAAGTTCGTAACAATAATAAACAACCTCTTCCTAGCTCCTGCGATCCTGCGTGCCACCTTGATTGACGTTTTTGCGCTTTAATTTGGTTTTTACTCGACAAACAGCGATTTGTTTATGCTTTGTTAATGATGTGCTTAGGCCTTTAATCATTGAGGTTTGTTAGATTTAATATTGCCTGTCATGATAATGTCTGTACGCATTTCGGGGGGCCATTCTCTTTATTGTTTCCATATTTCTTTTTTTTCAATTGTCTTTTTAACGTTCCGACCCGTGACTTGTGAGAATCCCTTTTGCTATAGCTGAATGCTTAATCTTTGAATTAACAAAAGCCAAGTTTGAATGAATAAATGTCCGTTTGCATCCTGTGTGTCTGCAAAAGGTTTGAATCTCTTTTTCGCATGTAAATATCACTGCGCCAGATTATAGTGTTGTGTTTCATATGTGAAAAGAAAAATATTTCTCTGGATCCAGAGATTCCGGCAAATTAATGAAGACAAGTTCCATTCGAATATTCGCCGCCTTTTTAATTTCTTTGGTTTATAAATATGAGACTCTGTCGAAGTCCGGTCGAATAGTGAGAATATTGAGGATATGGAGAGGAACTTCAGTTAATTTCTTCCACAGTGATGATTAGAGATAATGACGTACGATATAGGCAGTGGATGACAATTGACAAAGGCCAAAAGCGAGGAGCACTTAATTAAAAAAAAATAAAAAAAAAACGTTTTTCTCCGTTAGAGCAAGAATTGGGAAGATTTTTCTCTCATTAGTCATTACCAACTTATTGATTCTAAAAATTATATCAGGCCCTAACTAATTCAAATTGATGGTCAAATCAAATCATATGCCTTTCAAGCTTTGAGATTAGTTGTCATTTTTCTTCATATACTCCTCCGGTTCTTAATATAAAACATAATTATTGAATTGATTTTGGTCATAAATATAAGACCTGATTTTTATATTTATCAATTTTTTCTAAATTACCCTTATAGATACTCCCTCAACCATAATCAAATAAAAGAGGGGGGAGGATATTAAGGAAGATGACTATGGTATTTTAAGAAAAACGTGTCATATTTTTTATAATTAACTAACTTATCTAATTTCTTTAATCTGATCAAATTAGTTAAATATGTCTCATATTAAGGACTGGAGGAGTATTATATTTGAACCCAAATCCTTGTTAGTCAAGGAAAACAAGTAGTTAAGTATGTATACTTAAATCAACTATATCATTGGTTAGGATTTTTTTTTTCCAGGGAGAATGATGGCATTTTTATGTGAGAAATTTGGTGAAAAGTCCCCATTT